CTTTTGAGGCGTGAGTTGAAGTGCGTCCAACTGTCAATTAAAGTACGAGTTACTAAATGTGGAAGTTCAACAAAAGCCAAAATGTATATTACCCGTCTGGTAACTGGTAATTTGACATCGAGTTAAAATTTGGGCGTGGTTTCGCAAAAATGGGCGTGGCTTCCAGAAATATGAGCGTAGTTATTTTTGTAACTCGGTGTTCGTAACTCGGACAATTGTGCATGTCGTTATTCCACGTATCTATACCAGCGTTCAATTGCCTCTTGCATGAATCAATACGATTATGACCGAGAAGAAATGGGTCATTGACTTACAACGTTCTAATTATAGGGACGTCCTACATTCACTCCAACTATGTCATCGTAATATGAACTGGATAATTGGATAACGAAGACATTCTGCGTTGTGGTTGCCTCATACACAACATACCGTCAGATTATATCACAAAATTTCCTGCTTTACACCTCCATAAGTTTATACATCATGTTATTAATTATGAAAACACAATACCTACTAAAGCCACTGCTTGCTGGCTTCCCAAAATTATTCACGATTATCAAGCACTATTGTCAGAATATCGTCTGATATTTTTAATTTCTGTCGATTTTACGGGACATTTATATACAAAAGCAATATATTTGTCTGATAACATGCGCTGTCACCCGAGCTATACACGCTTTCAGATGATTTTCCGCCGGCCTTTCGCTTCGAGACGATTGAGTCGAAACGGACACATATTCTTAATCGTGTTCCGTGTTTAGTGAGAACAGTTTATTTGACACACAGCAAATATACTCAAGGAAACTTTAGACGATCGCTTATTGCGTTTGGCGAATCACTGCTGAAGTTGTATCTGTGCACAGCGACATACGGTTAACCTCCTCAAGTTTCAAGGTGGCGCTGACCCCAGACCATATCTTTCATGCAAGGACAAACGGCACGGTCGACCGAGTACCTCACCGCGCTTCGTCATTCGGTGACGGGACGAAACACACAGTAATCAAGATTGGTGACTTTGTGATAATTCATATTGACATTCGTCAAAAGTGACATATTGGGGTTGTTTAAATTAATACACGGAAATGATGGACTTTGTGTGCAATTGGCTCAACTCGGGCACCCAGCCCAGGGCGCTACTAATCGCCCAATATATACATTGTACTTATTGGAAATTAATATTAAGAAGAGTCAGACGTGAAATCCGTTTCACATTGTAGGTCCTAGTCAAAGGAGTGACGAAATAGATGCAAACACAACCTAACTGAAAGACGACAAAAAAACGTCTGTTTAGGAACTATAAGAAAGACTAGAACGTGGTTTTGGATTGCCATTTATGTTGCACTTTACCAGATCGATGCATGTATTTGGTACACCAACCAGAGCACCAGAAGGTACCTTGAAGAGGTCAAGTGGTTCCACCAATGTCTCACCATCAGAGATTGACTGATATATACACGATGTCATTGCATGGAAACTATTCTTGCCATCAGGAGTATCAACTTTTTTGTCAATGTTATCACCCGATGTACGTATTGTCCTTCCTTTCACAATACCAACTGGAACAGACACCCCATGTGATTGGATGTTCTGTAGTATATCATTGGCTATTTGACTGGAGACATGTGTTACTCTGTTGTATGTTATACCAGCACATGCATTACTGAGTAGAGTTATAAGTTTTTGGCTACGAAGATTAAGATACATCCAAAGTGATAGACCTACAGCAAATGGGCTTTCCAGTCGTTTGTCATTTGTTTCTTTGTCTTACATTCCTCTCATTTATTAGTTGTAGCAGCTTTAGAACCCTGTAATATCCACCTTATCAATATCATCAGTTCTACTGGCACACCACATTCACTGGTGCCAACAAGAGACCCTGTAAAGACCCAAGGACACTCTTTCTTTGCATTGGTAATCAACGTTCTGATGATTTTTCCACACTTGATTATCGCAGTAAAATCAGCAAATACATCGTGTTCTTCTCTGGCTATATTCGCTGCCTCACGACCACTTGTCTTGGAATGTAAAATACCAGGTAAATTACCTCTGTTTGGAGATATCACAACATTTGTTACATTCTCAAAAACTTTTACCATTAAAGCTCTGCGTGTAATTGATGTGCTAACTACCCTGTGATCACACATCATGTCTTCATACAGTGTTTCAACCTCAACCTCAACTGTAGTAATGTACTCTCCCGATTCAATTTGCTCTTGAAGCTCATCATAAAATTCCATTTCAGCAGCTATGAATCGTAATTTGTCTTCCATATTCTTGACAGAAGCACTGCGTCTTTCTGGGCTAATGTGTAGTTTTACAGCTGGTATGGTAAACTATGTCTCTGCAATGATATCAGCTAACTGCACTTTCCATATTTTATTGTGACTCTTCTCTACAATTTGTTGTATTGATTTACCACTGCCTTCACTCTGACAGGCATGTACAACTTCATTCACTTTGCTTGAATCTCTTCCTTGACAGAAAAAAACATTTCTGGTGGTTAAATCGTTCAGCTGTGGATTGCAAACATCTGTTATCAGTTGAACTTGATGTAGCGGAAGGTCTCCACTTTCTCTTTCTTGTCTTGTCAGCATTAAATTTAAACCGTTTTTCATCTCGTTCTATTTTGCTTTTACTAGTCGTTTCACTATAACAGCTGCGATGCCACTGTGCCCCCCCCCCGTCACTGAGACCTTCTTCTGTAAATTCTTTCAATCGCTGTGCCAGACTAATATATTCAGGATTTCCTAGCTCAGCTCTCTTAGTCACGCAGTGCAGAAATCTTTTGTATGTTGATACATCCCTTATATTCTTAGTGTTTTTTTCATTTTTTGTTGTTGCAATTTTGACATTTTATACATAGACTGAAATCTGTTGGCTTGCACTTGGTCGGAACTTCCCTTTCTGACTCCATTATATTTCTGAAATACAATGTAGTGTATCACGTATATAATTGTTTGCATGTATGTGGATGTTGTCTGGATGTTGTGTGTTTTATGTATTTTATTTTATTGATCGATGCAATCGTAATTCCAACATCTGTTATTTCTGTTGTAAAATAAAAATTCTACAGCTGTATAGCTACTAATTATGTGAGCGGAAATTCAATGGCTAAATCTTGTCGTGTGATAAGGTAGAATATGATTTTTTGAATATTCAGTGCTTCTCTGAATGAGCACACATATGTTAGTATGCATCGCAATTATTTAATATCAGTGCGAAATCGAATCAATTTAACACTAAATATATAATAATATTGTACTTGAACCACCTACCTTCACCATAAAACAGAATGTAATATTTGTATATGGGATAAAATGTACGAAAACTGATACACAATGAGATCTCCTCTGAGGATTCTACAAGTTAGCATGTTCAAAGGTAACTACACTTACTCTCAACATAGATGGTGCAATTTCTTCATTCAGGCTACTTTACTGAGTGCTTGTTCTAATACTCAGTACTGCAATATACTATTAAAGTGAATTAAATTAGATTAAAGTGAATAGCATTCATATAATGTATTGCATATCTAGGGTATCTATTATTATTTGGTACATTCAACATTACTGCATTGTACGCTGTGTATATATTCAAATTTAATACAAAAAACAAATAAAATAAAATATACCCATAAATTGTGGGTGTTATCATGATCATACTTGGTCTTAAAATGATAATGCTGTTTGAATTATGTTTCTACAGTGTTTAGATCCCGAGATATGGCACAATATTTGAAAAAAACGGCAGCTATTTTGAATTCCAATATGGCCGCCCGTATAGAGGTATATTTTTTTGGATTCCCTGATGTAAAATGGATATTTCCTGAAAATTACTAAGATTGTACCCAAAAATGCATATGGGCTTGAATTTTGTTACATAAGGCTAGACTACTATAGTGAAAAGTAAAATAAACATTTCATTAAATTTTATTTTTGCAATGAGTATGCCACAACATTGTTTCTTTTAGAATCAATACCAATGTTTCAAATTTTTTTTTTTACTTATGACATCTGAATCCAACATGAACTAGTGCATGGATTCTGGTGACATAAACACCACATTGTGTATGTCACATTGTACACATGTAAAGCAGTATAAAAACAATATTTGTTCAATAATATTTTTTTTAAATAAACATCTGACACAAGTAACAAAAACATTTTGCATTAGAATTATATATACAATGATCACAATTTATAAAATACCTTTAATTATTTCTTCATCCATTTCCGATTTCTGTGAGATGTCAGCACAACTAACAAATTTTGCTGATAAATTTTGCACATTTGCCATTTGGCGTCGCACGTTTGTGTTACGCAAGTCTATGGGAGAAACCGTAGCTCTTCTGTGTCCATAACAAATCAAATATCTGAAATAACAAACGTAATGACACCACGTGTATCGGAAATGACTAAAATACCATTACCGGGACTAAAAACAAAAATAAACACAAGAAGAGCCATGGACCCACAGCTAGTCACATTCCTGGTTTGTTCGGCACAAATGTTATCACAGTTACCAGTTCTTTGTGTAAAATGGATTGTCTCATTTTCCTCCACCTTTTCGTCGCTGATTGTTTTTAAAATGTTGCCAGTTTGTTGTTACAGTTATAACAGCCAACATGCAATCGATGGCACCACGTGACTGATTTCAATCAATCAAATGTATCAATCAATAGAATGTTCATTGCCGACAGGAAATATGTGTATCTCATTTTCAATGGCTTTGCGAAGATCGGGTACAGTCAAGGCAGAGTCACCACGTATTCTTGCGAGTTTGCGTTGAAAATGGATTGGTAATTTCCCAAAAATTATAGGAATGAGAAGCTTACAATAGCTGTCTTCATCTTCACCAAGAACTTTCAAGCAGCGAATGTTTGTTTCAAGTTTATCATGGAATTGGCGTAGACTGGCCGGGTTGTTTTCTTGGGGTTGGCAGTTCATACAGTGATTTTTTATGCGCGTTGATTATTCTCTGGGGTTGGCCATACATTTCTTTCAGTAGTTGATAGGCGAGTGTGTAGTTGGCTTCGGTTGTTGCAAGGCATTCGGAGTAGATGTTTGGCTTCTCCGCTTAGGAAACTTCGTAGATATGCGAGTTTTTTGTACTTTAGATAAATGTTCATTATTGTCGACAGTAGAGACAAATTTGTCGTCGAATTGTGACCATTGGAGTGCATCACCGTAGAACATAGGAATTTCTAGTTTAGATAGTTGCATGGATTTTAATTTCGTCGTTAGAGACTGTATATCACCACTTGCTTGTAGATATGGCGTTAAGGTATGTTCTCTGGCGATGCGTCGTTTATTGGCTGCGCTGTGTTTCTCGATGAAACTGACCGCCTTGTTGACTCGTGCTGAGGCAGCGATCTCATAGTCATCGGTATCTTGGAATTCATGGTCGTCTTCAGTGAGTTGACTGATCATTTCCGCGTCAACAGCAATTAGCACTTCTAGGCGCCTGACAGCGACTGGTCGGAGTGACTTGATTTCTTCGTAGGCATCAGCTTTGTCGGACTGGGTATCATATTGAGTGATGAGTGCTTCTAACTTGTTAAGCACTCGGTTGAGTTGAGATCTGGCATTGGTTCTCTTCTTCTTGAGCTGCGTTAAGTCGATTTCATTTGTCATGTTACCAGCAAATATCCTGTTCTCGGCACAAATGTAGAAACAGAATTTTAATAAAAAAGGATTTAGTGATTAAGGTTGAAAGGCGATGAATAATGACAATCCGTGTATATCAAGATGTGTCGTATTGTATGTAACTTAGAACACCTTTATGTCGAAGACATTAACAGGAACAGCAAAATAGATACAGTGCCGATAGGCGTAATATCACCGGGATTTAGGAGAAGATATTCAAAATGCCAGCGCTCAACATTCATTGGCTGAAATTCGTCACAAAGTTTAACTATATATATATAGCTGGAATAACTGGAAATATCAACTATTTACTTCACAATAAATATACATGTAAAACAATGAAATTGTAATAAAAATAGCGAATAAAACAACGAATATGAGAAATGAAGTATTTTACGATAAATTGACTTACATGCCAAGGCTAGTTGTTGTCGCGCCCACTTCGAGACCAGTACTAAAACCAGTTCCAACCCTATTACCTAATAACAACAATATGATATTGGAAATTCAGATTTTTTAATTAACATAACGTGCTTCAATTGAGTAACTTATGACTCACTGAGTGCATACTAGTAACATGTTCACAAACAATGTTATGTTAAAGTACTCATTTCACCCAACCTTCCGCTTTTATGGCTTTTTAATCCACTACTTATCACTTAATTTCCGACCGCGTAACAATTTCCGATCGAAAAACGAACTCTTTTTTTTATGTATTTTTGTTGTATTTATTTTCGCTCGCTCGCTCATTAAAAACACCAGCTACTTGCCCAAGCACACATCACTAAAGTGTTCGGAATGGTTTTTATGGTAACGTTTTAAGATACAACTAGTATTAACTAACATCTGTATTTCAGGAAATGTAATACCTTTGTCGAAACCAACTGAAGTTGTGATTTCTTGTTACGTGATTTGTATAGATGTTGATACTCAGATGTTTGTGCTGATGTTAGCAAATTAAATGTACTATGTTATTTTATTTCAAGAGAATAGAATGAAAGTGTTACTGTTGACATGAACGAAGTTTCAGTTTCATGACAAAATGCGTCAACGTGATTTAACATGTATGTGTAATTAAGTTCCACAGCATATGCTTATGTGTTTCGATCTGTTCCATGGCTTTCCTTTTGAATAATGATTTATTAAGTTACGACAGTTAGAAGAAAACGTAAGTAGTAACGCTGACTCATTGGGACAGAGAGCAGAGAAACAAGGAATATATTGGTGGGTTTTGTGGTATATAGTGGTGGTTTCATTCTAAAAATAATGATACCAAAGCCACGTCTGTTTGGTAAAATTTGACTTCAAAATAATTTCACGGTTAATAGCTGGGCTCGATCTATGTGAGAAAGGACTACGTACTGTAAAGACAATCTTGCGAACAAGTATTTGTTAGTAAATACGGTTCACATGCCTTGGAAAAAAATAACAGGGCATATATAACATGCATAAATAATTCATTGGGCTTCAGAATAAATCGGAAGTGTTCAATTTAGTTGTAGCATTAAATATGAGGTGGCCAGTCAATCGCAACTGTTTGATAATCATGATACACTGAACATGTTCACTAGTCTGATTTAGCTTAATTTCTAAAATTGCAATAAAACTTGCATGATTCTCCGTGCACTCTAAGCATAGATTTTCTTTTTTGAACTGAGTATAAACCTTACGCGTTGAAAGAATATACCAACGTTCCTGGGTGAATAATTTTGAAGCTTGTCACAACACAAAAACTATATAATTGACACAAGTGATTGGATTGTGCGTCAAACGCGCTTTGTTACAACATCATTGATTGGCTGAAAGTCTGCTGATCGAAACACGACCTTGGTCAGAGAACCATATTTGGCCCTAATTATCAACTGAAGTTGCCAACACATGTTGGAACAATTCATGAATTTTACTGGTTCGAATAAATAAAAGCTTGCGATAGGTAAGAATAGTTATTAATATATTCCCCGTTGCTCTTGGAATTTTTATTTTTTTCATTTTATTTCAAGGAAAAAAATGGATAGTTGAAATTGGTTTCAGCCATCAAATTACTGAACATGGTCCCATAAATTACTGTCAATATTTGTCATGTCTCTTGTGATTGTGTGAAATGAAATAGGCATTAACAATATTCCAAACAAATTACTACCGGACACGGTCGATAGGAATTTCAGACAATAAAATTAGTGTCGTAAGACGAGATTTTTCTGGATATCTATGAACATACTGTCATACCACATTTACTGTTGTCTCTCTAGATTGTTATGTTTAAATTGCAAGATTAAGTGTTGTCATATAGCACATACAACCAACATCATACTCATTTTTCGAATTACATGATAGGTCTATGTGTCCATCTCTTCATCAAATGGCAATTTAATGCGGTATCCTGGCGTCAACCAGGCCCAGTCCACCACAAGCACCTGCCGACCAAGGTTTCTCCAAAGTCACATCCAATAGCGAATGAATCTCGGCCAAATCACACTGACTGTGGTTTGCAACAAGTTGTTATTATACAAGATCCAACAAGTTACTGAAAATGAACTACTGTATT